TGTCTTAATGTATTTTATTAAATAACCAATGGTTATTAAACCTTATTCATACACAATATCCGTTAAATAAATCAATTAAAGAAACAAACACTTTTTTTTGTACATTTACCTGTCTTCAGTAAATATAATTCATAAACTTATAAAACAATATTTTATTTTTTACCTATCCATCAAAATATTAAATTACAATACCCTTGTTTTGGTATGCCATGTAGAAAACGCTTCAAGCGATATCACCACCGTTTTCCTAGATCACCGTCTGGGTAGGAATCATTCTTACCTATTTCTGCCACCAAATATCGGTGCTTGCATTACTGTGTTCCAGTCCGAACGATATAATGAGCCAGTATAATTACTCTCTCTCTCTCTCTCACTCTCTCACTCTCTCACTCTTCAGGGTTGACAACGCATTTGTAGCCTTTTATGTTTGAATTTCGCTGCAGACGTATATAGAGTATGGACTACTGTAGCCCCTTATCATCAGGTGAACTGTAAGCTCGTTTGTTAATTCACTTGATAAATACTTAAAATAGTTTAATAGCACTTTTTGGAATATTTTAATACATTTATTTTTATTATCTTACTTAAAACAAAACAAACGAATATGACAAACTCATCAGAAGAAAGATACGGCTCCATGGCGCAGGGGCTTAGCAATGAATTGCCGCTTTGCAGCGCTGGGGGCCGCGAGTTCGAATAACGAATGAAAAGTATTTGCATGGCCTGCAAATAAGTGTTCCAGGTCTGGATGCTTGTGCTTGTACAATTTATGTTTCTAAACTGCCTCGACGATACAGGATAAAATCCTAGTGTGGGGGTAACTTTTTTAAATCCAAAACAAAAAAAAACTCAAGTACCAATTTAAAACCACCCTCAGGTGGACGCTAGCCACCTATAACTTCTTAGTAGATTTTTGAAGCAGATGCTCCCCCCCGATGCCCCGAGGCTCTAGTTTGTGTTGATAGACTTCACAATCGTTACTGTTACCGTAAAAGCCTATCAAAAACCACTGCTGAACATAGGCCTCCCCCATAGATTGCTTCATTGGCGAAATATTTGTTATAATTACACGCTTGTAGGCGTTGGCAACCGCGGATTATTTTTAGTTGTTATTAGGAAGATACGGCTATCCATCTTCTGGTTTGTTTCCCTCTGTCGCCTCTTACTGCTTCACCGTCGACATGGAAAATCAGCACTTAATACTACAATTAACAAATTTAGTGGTTTCGGTGGGCATCGAACTGGGGTTGCTTACATACTATAAAATTTATAACGAAAATGTAACCATTAGAATGGAACTTTTGAAAGTTATTATTAAATTTTTACTTATGGAAAAACCATTAGTATAAGAACTATTTTGATATCAGAGATAAATTCTAAATTATAGTATTTGCCTGACAAGTTCAATTCATGATATATAAATGATTTGGATCATATTTGTCGTGTGTTATCAACCCTAAGTGCTATGATGCATAATAACAAGGAAAAAAATTCAATGGTTGAGACATTAATTACAGATTACCCAACTGCGTAAAAACGTTTGCTGAAAAAAGAAAAATTCAAATATATTATCCTTTGTCTCTACCGCAACTAAGACGAATCTAGAGACTAAAATCCATAAGTTAAAATCCATCAAGCGATTTAATCTATAGTCGTGACAAAGAAATAAACATTAGTACATTTAAATAAAACTCTTTTTTAAGGCTTTTGTCGTATATTAGCTTATTTTATATCCCTGTCGTTTAGAGCAAGTTGTTGTTCAAGTGAGGTGTTCAACTTCCCAGCGTCGTAGTTAACCACAGCTACCTCCCGATAAAATAATTTTTTTGTCCCATCTATGCAGTATTTAGTATATTGAAGTCTTGTAGTAGTATGCTTGGGTTGGGTTGCCATACATATAAACATACACTCGAAATATGATATATTATATGTTAATCCTAACGATAATAATAAATTAGAAGTTAAGCATGCAGCGCAATATGGCTGTACACAGGCTGTACCAAAGAAAGATCATGCTCGCACAGAATACCAACATAAAATAGCAGCATAATGCTGATGTTTTTCCTACGGTAAGTGACGAGAACCGAGAAATCTTACTACTTAATTAGAATTTGAAGATGTCTCCCTCTCTCTTTCTCTTTGTCTGCCATAAAGTGACGTCTTAAGAATATCCATCGCCCTATCTCATCCCGTTGATTCTATATTTCGAACACAGTAGCCAGTCTGAACGGAGACAAGGCATCTATCTGTGCAGGACTAGATTATAGTGCATGAGGGTGTATTAGCATAAGCTTTGATGCTCACTCTCATAGTTCGATGGGTTGGCAATCGAAAACAAGCGGAGAGAGATCTAACGAGAGGACTAACGGTTCCACGTGTTTACTAAAGCATCTACCCTTGGGTTTGCTTCTCGCCGGAAGATCCCAGCGTTGTTGCCGATTCTGTTGCTGATGTGGTACTTCAGGGTATGGAATTTTTATTCCATCCTCTGTGGTGCCCACTGGTGGCAGATCCCAGCCATGGTTTGGTCGCTCCTGTAAAATAGCATCACGCTATAAGCAGGAGTGCTACCGGACCTGGGCTGACGCATCAACGTCTCGGGATGTAAACACCAGCGCACTTAAAAAGAAGTATTACTCCGCCTCCAGGTCCTTCAAAAGCGTCATTGCCAAGGCAAGGTCTGAGCACATCGGCAGAATTGGCGAGAAGCTAGTTCGCCTTCCTTCGGGAACCCGTGCATTCTGGTCTCTTGCCAAGGCTGTCCAAGGGAACTTCTGTCAGCCATCTCTTTCATCTCTGCACAGAGAGGACGACTCACTGGCCCATGCCGCAAATGAGAAAGCCGATCTGTTGAGCTCTCTTTTTGCGTCCAACTCGACTCTAGATGACGGGGGGAACACACCGCCGACCATCCCGCGGTGTGAGTGCTCCATGCGAGAAGTGCTTTTTACACAGCGCTTGGTGCGTAAAGCACTCCTCTCCCTGGACATCAACAAGTCGAGTGGGCCCGATGGAGTCCCTCCCATTGTGCTGAAGACGTGTGCTCCGCAGTTGGCACCGGTTTTAACGCGTCTTTTCCGGTACTCCTACTCCCAAGGCGTAGTCCCGAATTCATGGAAGACAGCTTTGATCCACCCGATCCCTAACAAAGGCGACCGCTCAGACCCGTCCAACTACAGGCCTAGTGCCATCACCTCCTTGTTCTCCAAAATAATGGAATCCATTATAAACTGCCAGCTCATGAGGTACCTTGAGGATAACCAGCTGATTAGTGACCGCCAGTACGGTTTTCGTCGAGGTCGATCAGCTGGTGATCTTCTAGTCTATCTGACTCATAGATGGGCGGAGGCAGTAGAGTCCAAGGGGGAGGCATTGGCCGTTAGTTTGGACATAGCGAAGGCCTTCAATCGGGTCTGGCACAAAGCGCTTCTTTCGAAGCTTCCTTCCTATGGGCTTCCCGAGAAATTGTGCATATGGATCACCAGTTTCCTTGCTGATCAGAGCATCAAGGTCGTAGTAGACGGTGCATGCTCTGATTTCAAGCCTACCAACGCTGGTGTTCCACAAGGCTGTGTGCTATCACCAACGCTGTTTCTCCTGCATATCAATGATATGTTGCTAACTGGTAGCATTCATTGCTATGCAGACGACAGCACTGGTGATGCCTTATATACCGGCCGTGCCAATATTTCTCAGGAAAACGTCGCTGAGTACCGGGACAAACTTGTGTCTGAGGTCGAGTCTTTGCTTAACAAAGTCTCGGATTGGGGCCGACTAAATCTAGTCCAGTTCAATCCCCAGATGACACAAGTTTGCGCGTTTACCGCTACAAAGAACCCCTTTGTCGTATCTCCTCAGTTTCAAGGCACTCCCCTTGCTGCCTCAGCTAGTATCGGAATCCTTGGCGTCGACGTATCGAATAGTGTGCAGTTTCGTGGTCACTTGGAAGGGAAGGCCAAATTGGCCTCTAAAAAGCTTGGCGTGCTCAGCAGAGCGAGACAGAATTTCATTCCGGCACATCGCTTGCAACTTTACAAAGCACAAGTTCGGCCCCACATGGAATACTGTTCTCATCTCTGGGCCGGGGCACCCCAGTGCCAGCTCCTTCCACTTGACCGCATCCAGCGCAGAGCGGTTCGAATCGTCGACGACCGAGATCTTTCTGATCGGCTCGATACACTGGCACTGCGTAGAGATGTTGCATCTCTTTGCGTATTTTATCGCATCTATCACGGGGAGTGCTCTGAGGAATTGTTTGGACTAATTCCAGCCGCTCTATTTCACCATCGCACATCGCGACAAAACTCGCGTTACCATCCATACCATCTGGATGATTGGCGGTCCACCACTGTGCGATTTAGAAGAAGTTTTCTCCCTCGCACAACTTCCTTGTGGAATCAATTACCACCAGCGAATTTTCCGGACCGATACGACTTAGGAACCTTCAAGAAAAGAGCTTACACCTTTCTAAAAGGCCGGCAACGCATCTGCAATTCCCCTGCTGTTGCGGTTGTTCATAGGCGGCGGTAGTCACTTACCATCAGGTGAGCAGCATGCTCGTTTGCCCCCTCTTCTATAAAAAAAAAATTCATTTTATCAATTCTGTCTATTAATATACGATTCATTTTGAAAGGAGCTCTTTGACGCTGTTAACCTTTTAACGTCCTCCGAGGATCGTAGGGGTGTTAAAAAATATGTACCTTTCAATAAAATCCACAACGTTTATTTTATCAATTAACATACGGATGAATTTACTAATGAAAATTTATTTAATTTCATTTTATTACTTAAATTTTTAAAACAAAAGGAAACTAAAATAGTTCACTTTTATCAAAACTGTATTTTTATTAAATATGCAGAATCATAAAATTTATGTAACTATGCATAATTACTTAAGTCCTTTAGTATATAAGTCTTAATCTTATGGTGAGACGAGATAAAATAGCTACAGTAGGTAGTATTTAACAGAACTGTTCATTTACATTTTGTAATTGCACAAAATGAGTGTACAAGAGGGTGGTAAAAGTAAAAAGTATGAGTTAGTGCCACCCGACGGAGGTTGGGGTTACATGATTTGGATAGCCGTTGTAATTAATTTGGTAAGTACATAATTTAGACGATAGTGAGTGTCATGAGTTTTGTAGTTATATTTATTTATTTATGTATTTACACTTTATTGTTTACACCTTAATACACAACCAAATTATTTAAGCAGAATACTCTTAATTATATGTAGTAAATAATTTTGATTTTCATAAAGGACAGACATCACTATTATTATCTATACATTGAAATAGTTTTCGATTCTACCTCAGTTACCAAATAATGCTTGCTATGTAAATGTAAATTATTATATGTAGTAAATAATTTTGATTTTCATAAAGGACAGACATCACTATTATTATCTATACATAGAAATAGTTTTCGATTCTACCTCAGTTACCAAATAGTGCTTGCTATGTAAATGTAAATTACGTGTAATAAATTTCATTCAAAAGCTGATTCATTTATTTTGTTCCTAGGTTCTTGTTATTTTTTGAAAAATACATCCTCAAAAATTTAATAAATCTAACAGGTTTATTAAAGAGATTCATATGCCTATATAGCGGCAGTGGTTATACCCATTGCTTTAGCCAAACTCTTCTACGTTTTCTTTGTTCAATACAAATAAAAGCATCACAGATTATAGTTAGATCTTTCTTTGAAAGAGACATTGCAGACAAAAGTTTATATTAAACTAATGATTACAAGTGACGTCCGAGGACGTGTGTTGCGAAGTCACGGATCAGATCTAAGAAGTGTCAATTAAATCTTTACGTATATGACTAGCTATTAGGAAAAGTAAAAATGTTTTAAATTCATCTTCATGTTAATAAAATTCCAGGTAGCAACATCGGCATTTTTAGGATGTTTTGGAATAATATTCAAGGAATTATTTATACAATTAGAGATGGGATCTACACATATAAATTTATTGAATGGAATAAATTCTATCTGCATTTCAGTCTCTGGTGAGAATTTAGTATGTAAAACCGATTAAATAATAAAAAACAATAAAATATTTGAACAAAGTTTAAGGCTTGAAAAAAAAAACAAATTGTACCAGTCGAGGCCTATTATAGTGGCTATATGCAAATCTTTTATAAAACGGTAATAGGTATCAACTGCATTTCTTTTTTAATATTAATTATTTTTATTTAGTAGTATAGTTGTAGCACGAATGGTTCGGCTCGACCGGGGAAGCACCACACTCTCACAGAATACCAGCGTAAAATAGCAGCTTAATGCTGCTGTGTTTCGTATGATGAGTGTAGAGAACCGGAGATTTTTACTGGAAATGAGGCATTCCATCTTAGTCCTCACAGATGACAATGCATCTGCATTTTGATTTGTAATAGAGGATAGATGTAGATGTATCCGCAGCAACTACTTACCATCAGGTGGACTGTGTGCTCGTTGTCACCCTTATCCTATAAAAAAATAGATCATGTTGGGTGTCAATAAAAAAACAGCAGTTGTTTTATTGTTCATAACATGACACTTTTTATCTTTTTAATGATACTTATGACTTATATTACATTTAGATTTAAGAAGGATAGTGTTTATGATGGCTAACAGTTGATATTTTGGAAAGGATAGCAAATCTGCGATAGAGAAGTGATTACAGCTAGTCCTACTAACCATAGGAGAGTCAGTATACTAGTAGCGGGCTGTTTACTGGCTCATGTGGGTTGAGTTCTTGAATTCACAGATTTTATACGCGGTAGAGCCATGCTGCAGCTATATTAGTAGTGTAGTTGTAGCACGAATGTGTCGGCTCGACCAGGGAAGGACCACGCTCTCACAGAATACCAGCGTAAAATGGCAGCTTAACACTGCTGTGTTTCGTATGGTGAGTGTAGAACCGGAGACCCATTTTACTGGAAAAGAGGCATTCCATCTTAGTCCTCAGGGGGGACGGACGACGTATCTGCATTTTGATTCTTCATTGAGGATAAATGTAGATTTCTATGGGTCACAGCAACCACTTACCATCAGGTGGACTGTGTGTTCGTTTGTTAGCCTATCCTATAAAAAAAACAGCGAATAAGATAAAGAACAGAAAATATAACAATATGGACAAAAATATAATAGCTCCCGACAGATGGCAGTAAACCATCTCGTTTACATCGGACGTAAAATAATACATAAACCCGCGTTCTTCAGTCCGCCCGCCAAGTGGCGATGAAGGCAATTCGTACCTACAATGGAAGACGCCAAGCAGTGGACCTTGAAGAGCTCATGAAAAGAGGAATTATTATTAATTTAGAATGTCAATAATTTCATTACAGGTTTTATGACAGGACCGTTACTAAAATTTATAAGTATGAGAAAAGTTGGTTTCATTGCCGCAATTTTTATGAACCTTGGATCTTTTGGCACAATTTTCGTTAATTCTCAATTAACTTTCTTTCTTTGTTATGGAATTGTGCAGGTATTTTATTCTCTTTTTATTGATATAATTTAGTTTATTTATAAAACGCTTAACCTCTGAATTCTTACAGCCCATTGGAATTGGTATATTGTATAACATATCGTATTCCAGTATTAATGACTATTTTGTGAAGCGACGATTGATCTCATTAAGTTTGACACAAAGTGTTGCAGGTATTTTATGTTCATTGTTCATGTTCACTTTTTTTTTGACAATGTAAAACAAATATTTCTTTCATGTATCTCTATACTTGTGTGTTTAGTTATACTATCGCCATTAAAATTTTATTTTGATTTTCATTTTGAATAAATTTATAAAAAAATTTAACCTTTTGTGTCGGTTCGATGGAATCAACTACACATTGCACTTACTGACTTAGCACAAAATAGTAGTTTGTATTCGGATTGCGAGATACCTTGTTTGTTATCAGATGTTATTGAGTTAATAAACGAGCAAACAAATTACACTACAAACGATTTGTGAGTGATACTCGTACATTCCAATAAATATTAAATGTAGTATAGAATAGAATAGAATAGAATGATTTTTATTCAATATGGATTATTACATAATACTTATTGAAAGTCATTATTTTATTTACCACTGGTTCGGAAAATACCTCTGTCCTGGGAAGAACCAGCAAGAAACCCAGCGGGACTTTTTTTTTAAACATAATGTCACTTAACTATAATTTTGATTATACAATTTTAAATTAATTTTCATAGAACCAGCATGGTGGCGATCACCTTATTCCCAGGGGTTATTTTCATTCATGTATTCCTTGATATTATAATAACCCTTTTTGTACAGTTTTTCTTTAATAAAACTTTTAAACTTGTTTATTGACAAACTTTGAACATGTTCTGGGATTCTGTTGTAAAAGCGTATACATTGCCCTATAAATGAATTACTAATTCTGTGGAGTCTTGTAAGTGGCATTACAAGCTTATGTTTGTTCCTAGTGTTTAAGGTATGAACATCCTTATTCTTATTAAAACTATTTATGTTTTTATGTACATACATTACATTTTCATAAATATATTGCGATGCCAAAGTTAATATGTTTATTTCTTTAAATTTTTCGCTAAGGGATTCATTATAATTTAAATTATAAATCGCCCATTTGGATCTCTTTTGCAAATCAAATATTACTTCAATGTTAGTCGCATTACCCCATAGCAAAATTCCATAAGACATCACGCTATGAAAGTAACTAAAATAAACTAATCTAGCTGTCTCAACATTAGTGAAACTTCTAATCTTTCTTACATCATATGCTGCAGAACTAAGTCTGCTTGCTAATTTAGATATATGGGGGCCCCATTGAAGGTTCGCGTCAATAGTAATACCAAAACAGTGGTATCCAGAAGACTCAACTCCTCCCCATTTAAGAGCACATTGGTTTTCGAATGTTTTACATTAGGTATTGTAAATTTAATACATTTTGTCTTATTGCCGTTTAAGAGCAAATTGTTGGCGTTAAACCAATGTACTAGTTTCGATAGAGCATTATTTACATCGTCATATTTAATTGACTGCCGTTTCAGTTTGAAAATTAAAGAGGTATCGTCAGCAAATAATACTATATCGTGATTGTCCCCTACAAGATAAGGTAAGTCATTAATATAGATTAAGAACAGGAATGGGCCAAGAATCGAGCCCTGAGGAACGCCCATTGATACTACCGAACCGGAGGAACATTTACCATTAATGACGACTTTTTGAGTTCTGTTACTTAAATATGAAGTAATAAGTTTAAGCGCCAAATTTTTTACACCGTAATGTTGTAGTTTCCTGATTAATGTATCATGATGAACACAATCGAAAGCCTTGGAAAGGTCACAGAAAATACCTAAGGCATCTTGTGAATTCTCCCAGGCATTAAAAATATATTTCATAAGCTCAACACCGGCGTCAGACGTCGAGCGACCCCTTGTAAAACCAAATTGATTTTTATGAAGTAATTTATTTGTATTAAAAAAAATTAACTATTGATCCAAAATTATTTTTTCAAAAATTTTACTGAGAGTTGGTAGTACAGAAATAGGTCTATAATTAGCGGGGTCCAATGTACTACCAGATTTAAATAAAGGTATTACTTTACTATACTTCTTTAAATCAGGAAACACACCAGAATCGATACAAGTATTAAAAATAATAGCAAGATGAGGTGCAATTAAATCTATTATGGACGTAATCACTGTAACGGAAATCCCCCACAAATCTGCGGTTTTCTTTCTTTCTAGTCAACTTTACTATGTATTAGAAAGAAGGTCATGTTACCGTACATAAATGGGTGAAGGGTGAGCAATGAGAGTTGCTGGTTTCGTTACAGATAATTTTGTCAATAGATAATCTAATGAATAACAAAAAAAAATTAATCCGTATTTTAACCTCGAATGTCTAATTGCCAAAATCTTGTGCTTTATATCTATATTTGATATTTACACCACTGTCATCTTTAATTATGTGTTTATTTGTTTTTCTGTTTTAATTATATACTAGCTGTTCTCCGCGATTTCGTTCGCGTGTTAGGGTTTTTATGTTTTTGTGCGGAACCCTAATTATTTTTCTAAAATAAAAGTAGCCTAAGTTACTCCTTATGAAATTAGCAATCTGCCAGTGAAAATCCCGTCAAAATCGGTCTAGCCGTTTCGGAGATTACCCGGAACAAACAGACAGACAGACAGACAGACAAAAATTTTAAAAATTGTATTTTAGTTATAAGTACCGTATTTACTTTCATGTGTATTTAGTAAAAAACTGTAATTTTTACATTACAAACAGACACTTCAATTTTATTTATTTGTATAGATAATAACATACTGTTATGTTAGCGTGTTTTTAAATTAAATTTACCATTTTCAGCTATAGTTAGTTTTCTATCACCACAATTTGTCGAAATCACATTAGAGGTTTATGGATATAGAGGAGCATACGTACTACTAGCGGCGATAAATATGCAGACATTTGTGGCTGTGTCTCTCATGCAGCCTGTGGATTTGCATTTGAAAAAAGTTGAAGTGATAACGGTTGAGGAAAATGGTAATATATGATTATTACTTACAGATACAGGTATAAGTACAATATATTATGCAAGTAACCGGTCAGCACTGAAGTGAAGTAATACAAAGATTAAAGCTTTGAGATGGCGTTGCATATAGAAAATTTAAAACATAAGATGTAGAGAAATATTCTCACATATCTCTCGTCATCTATATTTTAGAAAAGAAATCATTCAAATATTTAAGAAAAATTATAACCCCGAAACAAATACACCCATCAAATAGAAATGTTATAAGTCGCCCCATTCTTAGCAGTCAGTAATCAAATTACTGTATTAATAATGAATATTATCGAAAATGTGAAATATGGTTTTATAAGAGTAGGTCGAATTTCAATCATAATTTTGTTGTAAATATGTTTACAGAAATGAAACTGCTTATGGTTGATGATCAAAGCTGTGAAATACCCACTGTTAAATTATCTAATAAAAAACGGAATAGTGGTTATTCAGATCAGAAGCAAGAAAAAGATTTAAAGTTACATGTAACAGAGAAAAAAAGTAAAGGTATTAAGTAAGTAGCATGTAGTAATTTTATTTGTAGAAATTTCTGTACCAGAAACCACCTAGCAGAAAAGCTTAATGTTGCATCTATATTTTTTGCAGGGAGTTGATATTAGAAGCTCTTGACGTATCCCTTATGAAATCTTTTTTGTTATCGAATGCGGCGTTAGGGGTAGCTCTATGTTTGTTTGCTGATGTAACTTTTTCATTTATACTCCCACAAGCGTTATACACAATGAACTGGACTGAAGTGAGTTATATTATTATTTTTAAATTATTGGTCATCTTGGCTATATTTTTATGTATAATTTTGTTATATTTTAGGGTGAAGTTGCGTGGGCTGTATCTTTGTCTTCTCTTGGGGACTTAGTGACCAGAGTTATGTTTATAATTTTCAGCAATTCGTTACTGAGATTTGAAATTCAACAGATTTACATTGTTGGATTGTTCGTGGCTTTTATCACTAGAATAGGTAAAATTTATTGCATTTCTTAAGAAACTTGTATTTGAACAATTATTTTAGAGAATAATTCTCAAATAAATAGATTATTATATTTCACGCAAACGGCATACATAAATATATAACATAATATGACATATAAGAGACAGGTCATAATTACATACATATATTAACAATACCTGGAATTGAAATCAATTAAAAGATACATAAAAATGGTTGCTTAAAAATTATTAGGTTGCAGTTGTTACTTGAGGTGAAATTAGAGCCTGAAGCTTAGATACAAGATTTGTATCACCTGATATAATTTTATTGCAATAATTTGAATAAATTTTATCGTGTAGTGGCGGTGTAACAATATCTACTACCAAATGTTGCCCTGTGGGTGTTGTAAGCGGTGACACAGGGAAACAAATCAGGAAATGGGTAGAATCTTAAAACAACAACAAAAAATTGCCAATACTGCTACGCTTGGCGGGTGTGGCAGTTTTGTATCTTAGAAGATACAAATATACAAATACATATCTTTTCCCTTCCTATGGGCTTCCCGAGAAATTGTGCAATTGGATCACCAGCTTCCTTGCAGATCGGAGCATCAAGGTCGTTGTAGACGGTGCATGCTCTGACTACAAGCCTATTAACGCTGGTGTTCCACAAGGCTGTGTGCTATCACCAACGCTGTTTCTTCTGCATATCAATGATATGTTGCTAACTGGTAACATTCATTGCTATGCGGATGACAGCACTGGTGATGCTCTATACACCGGCCGTGCCAATATTTCTCGGGAAAACGTCGGTGAGTACCGGAACAAACTTGTGTCTGAAGTCGAGTCTTTACTGAACAAAGTCTCGGATTGGGGGCGACTAAATCTAGTCCAATTTAATCCTCAGAAGACACAAGTTTGCGCGTTTACCGCTAAAAAGAACCCCTTTGTCGTATCTCCTCAGTTTCAAGGCACTCCCCTTCTTGCCTCAGCCAGTATCGGTATCCTCGGAGTCGACATATCGAGTGACGTGCAGTTTCGTGGTCACTTGGAAGGGAAGGCCAAATTGGCCTCTAAAAAGCTTGGCGTGCTCAGCAGAGCGGGACAGTATTTCATGCCGGCACACCGCCTGCTACTTTACAAGGCGCAAGTTCGGCCTCACATGGAATACTGTTCCCATCTCTGGGCAGGGGCTCCCCAGTGCCAGCTCCTTCCACTTGACCGCATCCAACGCAGAGCGGCTCGAATTGTCGACGACCGAGCCCTTTCCGATCGGCTCGATTCATTGGCACTGCGAAGAGATGTTGCATCCCTTTGCATTTTCTTTCGCATCTACCATAGGGAGTGCTCTGAGGAATTGTTCGGATTAATCCCAGCCGCCAAATTTCACGAACGCACATCGCGGCAGAACTCCCGATACCATCCACACCATCTGGATGATTGGCGGTCCACCACTGTGCGATTTAGAAGATGTTTTCTTCCTCGCACGACCTCCTTGTGGAATCGATTACCATCTGCGATTTTTCCGGACCGATACGACTTAGGGACCTTCAAGAAAAGAGCGTACTCCTTTTTAAAAGGCCGGCAACGCATCTGCGATTCCCCTGGTGTTGCAGTTGTTCATGGGCGGCGGTAGTCACTTACCATCAGGTGAGCCGCATGCTCGTTTGCCCCTTCTCCTATAAAAAAAAAAAAATTACTAGAGGCCAATGTTCAGCACTAGACTTTTGATAGGCTGTAACGATGAGTATAATATGGTGTAAAGCCATTGAATAAAACTATTTTTCGGATTTTATCGCATTTATTTTACTTATTTTAATTCCCGACGTTTCGGGTGCTTTATAGTACCTAAGGTCACGAAGGGGGGGGGGGGGGTCTGAGGTGTTTGACGTTCCGATCTTATAGTTAGCTACCTTCAATTTTTGAATATTAAGGTTTGGTCCGATATACTCAGAATGAGCTTACAGTATCCTAAAGCCAATTAAGTGGTTCATGTGAACTTTTGGTTAAGTAATTTAAGTTAAAGTTCCAAACCAACCTTTGTCTCATTTGAATCATAAAGCATCTTCTCATTTTCGTGAGACTTCAATAAATCGGTGAAACCTACGGATCACATTCTTAAGAGAGTACATAATGTCGTTCCGTCTAAAAAGTGACGTTTTCGAAAACCCGACCACAGAAATCAGAGTAATTTAACTTAGAGAACGTGGGATATAATTTTCGAATATTGTGTGTCCACATTATTTATTTAAAAAAATAGCTCAATCCTTAGAATAAATCTGCAATAATACAATAAATTATGAGAATTACCAAACATAATTATATTATATTCGTATATATAATAATGATATTAATTTCAGGAATACTGGCATCAGAAAATTTTACTGTAGTTCTAATATTCCTTGCACTTATCGGTACATCGCGGTGTATATTAGTAGTTCTGATGCCACTAGTAATCGCTGATGCGGTACAGCCGGAGCAGTTTACGTCGGCTATGGGAATATTTATGCTAGCTTATGGATGTATTAATTTATTATTGGGGCCAGCTATAGGTAAGACCTTTTTGAATTCGTTTTTTGACTAAAAACAATTCGTGCATTTATAATTTCATTACATAAGGGTATTGTAAACCTTGAATTTTTTCTGTTTCTATTTGGTTTCTGGCACTGCTATTTCGTGTCAGAAATAGGTAAGAGGTTGGTTTCTACCCCTACTCCTAGACAGAAAACCATAACAAATATAGCCACACTTGACATAATTTTTGATAATAGGACATACGTAGTATAGCCACGCTGCAGCTATATTATGGTTATAGCACAAATGGGTCGGCTTGATCAGGGTAGGACCACGCTCTCACAGAATATTAGCGTAAAATAGCAGCTTGACGCTGCTGTGTTTTGTATGGTGAGTATAGAGAATCGGAGACCCTTTTTATTGTAAAAGAGGCATTTCATCTTAATCCTCAGGGCTGACAAAGCATCTGCATTTTGATTCTTAATCGAGGTTGGTTGTAGATCCATAGATATGGATTAAAGTATCAAACTTACCATCAAGTGGACTGTGGACTCGATTGTTACCCTTATTCTATGAAAAATTATACATAATATATAATATGACGATACTTAAGACATATTTCACGAAGATAATATAGATTGTCTAATATTATTCACATTATGATCTAAAAACAAAATTATGCTTATTTTACTAACCATTAAACGCTTTGTCTAAATCGAACAAATACAACGTAATCATTAATACAAAGCAAATAATTTTTATCAACACGATAAGAAATGACAGATCTTAACTATTGTGAAAATACAGAGAGAACATTGTTATTTTTATTACTTGATATTTTTAAACATTTTTAATAGTTTGTTATCAATATTCATCATTATAGCCTTTCAAAAAGCTACTGCTGAACGTAGAACTTCTCGACTTCCCCTGCCAAAGCACGGTCCTGAACCAGGTGCAATAATTGAAGCAAAGATATTGAACTATTGCCTCTATAAAGCAGGCTTGAGAACCTTGACCTTGGCCGTTGTAGCCAATGTTCCCCAGTTTTAGCTTCAGCTTTTATTAGTGCAGTAGCTAATAATACCTGCCGGGGCTTACGTGTTTGACCAGTACAGAGACAAGCTACTTCAGGAAGTTCAGAACCCAAAGTTTCAATGCAGCTGGCCGCTTATTTTATGACTACTGTGTATCTTTACTTAAGCTTGTTTTAAGCCACTGCTTGGTCTTTATTCTACTGATTGTAGGTGGGACGCAGCAATCTTTTTTGATATATCCTATACTTTTTTGGTTTTTCGTAATCGTACGAAAGATGATTTTGGCCTAAATAATTGCCAATTGCCTTGTTAACACAAATTCCCGACTGAGGCTGAGTACAATATCTTGACTTGAAAACTGTTTGCAGAAACATAATTTATGATTCTGCGCGCAATATTCACATTTCAAACTAAAAGACTTGTCGCAAACAAAACTTAGGCGTTATGAGTAAGTAATTTACGCAGCTCGATAGTTCAATAAATATTTGGAACTTGTCAATCGTAGGTAAAAAATCATCATTTGCTATAAATAACTTGAACTACTTACGTGTTTCAGTATTCATTTTGTAGGTTACTACATAAATGACAATTATATGCCATTTGCTTACATCGATATTTAAAATTTTTAATGCAATTAATCCATTGTTGTGTCCAAAAATTATTTTAATCTGGATGCTGATTCACAACTCATCCGTCTTTAACCAAACAATCTTTTTAAAATACACTTAGAGAAACACCTTTTGTTATTATATCTCCTTTCTAAAATCTCCTAAGACTCCTTATAATTGGCTTCGGTAACTGGGGTATGCCAAATCAGTTGAGTAGCCTCGCTAGAGAGATTAGCCTTTAAATAATGAACCCTTGCACTTTATCGAGAGATAAATTTTTATGGACTAATGATGAAAACAAGTCTCAGAACGTCGTAATGAAGTTATACTGAGATGACAATTAGGCAAGGAATGGTCTCAGTTAATTTAACTCAGATTTAGTACTATGATATTAATTTATTTTGACTGCCTCGTTGATCTACGGATCGAAAATGTGAGTGCTGACCATGTCCAGACCAGGTCCCGGGTTTGAATCCCGGTTCGGTGAACAAATCAGCTATTGAGTTTTTCTGCATTCTCAGTAGCAGCCAGGAGTCAGGAAGTTGGTGGTGCTTCACCACTGCATCTCGACAAGCGCGTAAAGCCTGCTCAGATGACTAATTTTCCTTGAGACTGGCTGCCGTGACCAAAATTCGGTCTAGGGGACATTATCGTAATAATTTTTTATTATAGCTTCTTACCCTATATAAAGCGGAAGTCCCGACGTGCATGGCGTACTGCTATCACATATTCCAGATATTTTGGTCGTTTATCTGTTTCGGCTTTCATGAGGTTCCAGTCATACGGAATAGTAACGTCAATCAATAATATCCTTGGCTGTGCCCAGTCCATCAACACCATATCAGGCTTATTCGGTAGAATAGCCTGTTTTTTTTTTTCAAATAACTTACACTTTAACTAATATAAAATATTTTGAAATGGACCTCTTAAAGGTTTGACTATTACATAAAATTATAATATTATTGAATTTATCAATTCCATTAATGTTTTATTAATTCCAATGAATTTATGAATATTATTTAATTAACTAATTCAAAATATCGAATGTTAATTTTAGTTTTGAATTTTTTTTAATACGAATTTATATATCGTAATTTTTATGTCATGTAAATAAATGTTAATTCAAATTTATTATTTATTAAAATTTATTATTTATTTAAATTACTGATATTTTATTACAAATGTCCGTTAAATTAGAATACCTCTTCCTTATCCTGTAAAAATCAGTTGTGGCCGAGAAAGATAACCAATTTCGATGTTTTGTTTTTTATTTGAAAGCTATTGCTTTTCATGTGGTCACATAAATTTGATCAAAGTCTGACCTTGATCAAATTTATGTGTATTGTTTTGAGTTATTCTTAATAATTTATATTGAAGTCGGTTGTACAAAATTCTTAATTTTAAATTATTCACGTACTGGTTGAAAACTATCACGGCCTTTTCCAGCTCCGTAAATGACAAACTTTTTAAATCTTTGATCGCATGGTGAGAGGTCTGGACTGTTTGTGTGATGGGTCACGAGCTACACCCTTTTAGAAGCGAAAAGTGACTTTATCTTATTGGTGATATGTACCGAAGCATTTTCATGGTATAATAGTATGCGGCATCTTGACCGTTTTACGCAAACTTTTTCAAAGATGTTGGGCTGACAGATGGTATTGTACCACTCAGCATTAACTGTCTTTTGCACCTCAAGTAAGATATTGCAGGAAGGACCCGTCTCGGGTGCTTCCTGCAATATCAATATCGAGGGAAAACGCAATCATATTTTGCTCACGTTTCTTGCCTGCCTCAATTTTGTACTACGCTGTCGCCTTCGAATAGAAAAACTCCATAAAGAAAGACTATTCTTTTTTTTCAGAATCTAACAATATATTCATGTTTCATCTCCTGTAAAAATGTCATATTTTTTACACCAATCAACAAGAGTCCGTTTTTTTGGGATAGTTCATGAGGAATCCTGCAACAACTAAATTTTCTGACTTTTTAATGTTGATATAATTTTTAATGAATTAGAATCATATCAAAAGTGCCGAATCTCCTCATAGGTGATGTGCCAGTTTTCTTCAATTAGTCGCCTGATATGAGCCACATGTTCCTCAGTGACCGCAGTTGAGGGTTCGACCTTCACGAATTTCATCATAGTACCAATGCCTTTGGGACGCTTTTGGGAGGGAAGCAGCTCATTTGTGCTAAGGTGCACAAATGAGCTGCTTCCCTCCCAAAAGCGTTTTGAAGACGAACAGAGTAATATATCGAAGAGGGCGAACATTTAAAATCATAAAATATCATCGCCCTAAAATCTTTTTGCGTTAATTCTATTTTTGAAACGGATGACAACTTGTGATACAAAACAATTTACACGCGACTTCCCAACAAAAAATATTTAAATCCATGTTCATTATATTTAAAAAAATATAACATTCGAAATTCAAACGTTTATTAGGGACCACGAGCGCAGAACTTTCATTGTACCCTACGAGTATGTACTGCTGAACTTAAGCGAATCTTAAGCGTAGAAAGCTATGCTCGGTGCTTCTCCAGAACCAGAATAAGCAACATACCCCAACGGTGCAGTAAGCTTAATTGGCCGGCAACGCATCTGCAATTCCCCTGGTGTTGCGGTTGTTCATGGGCGGCGGTAGTCACGAGACGCATGCTCGTTTGTCCCTCTTCTATAAAAAAAAATGGCTATTGGTCGGCCATGTAGCTTGTAGAACCGATAACAGATGAGGAAGAAAGGTTCTCGTTCAGCCTCGTGAGCAACCTCGGTAGATGCAGGTGACTTAGAACCGTGCTTTGAGGCGTTCCTTGGAAGGGACTTATGCTTAGGATTAAACTGATGAAGAAATCTCATAATTTTCAACTATTTCTTTTTAGACTATATTCATCTGTATTTCTTTATTACCCAAAGAACCAATTTTAGCTAGAGAAAAAACAAATCTTAGATCAATTACTAATAACAATACTATCTTAATGCTAATGTAAGCACCCAAAAGAGTGCTAAAATGTTTTTAAACTGGACTTACTCATTTCGTTTCGTCATTTTTCAGGTGCAATTCGAGATTTGACCGACAGCTACGCGACGGCAATATACGTTCTTAACTCGTGCTTCGCGATTGTAATAATATTCTGGCTTATAGAAATATGTTACAAAAAGAACAAGCATAAAAGACAACCAAAAAAGAATGAACCAAAGAAACGATGATGTCTCAAATTAGTTTTTGTCAGTTTCTGTGTATTGGTGTTTATCAGCATTGTTCATGTAATAGACGATGGGTTAGTGGTGAAGCTTATTAAGATGAATAAAATACACTGTAAAAAATCCCTAAACATAAGTAGGGTAAACAGTACTAATGTTGGCAGTTGGCACTCCTACAATGATTGGCACTTTGCTATTTTAATCTGAATATTAAGAATGTTTTCCTTTTTCTATATCACAGCTACACAGATATTGCTAAGATATATAATTACTTATACTAACAATACACATTTATATTTAAACCATCAACTATTTTCCTACAAGGGCTGTTTTAAAAATGTGTGCGGACATCCGTTAAAATTTAACAAAAATTAAGGTTATGTGGCTAGATTTTGAGACAAAAATGTGATGTTTAGGTCAGTTTATATGCAAGTTTTTGTCTATTTTAATCAATTAACGTCATTAAAGCATATTAAACGTTATTTTGTCTTTGTGAAATAGAAGCATTGGTTTTATTAAATTGTGCCAATGACTATACTTTACTTTGTTTGACTACATAATCATTGGCATATATGTCAATCACTATACTTTCTTTCTTTTGTCCAAAATCTATTCTTGACACTGCCAACGACTATATATTTAGATTAGTGCCAATGATTATGACTGAAATTTTCATATTTTGAATTGATGAAGAATACTGCTATTAAGAGAGGGCGTTTTAGAAAAATAACTGCCGCACTAACATTTAACATTCCACGCGCGAATTTACAGTTTCCACTAAATAAGTAAAGTAAAAAAAACTAACAAACTGAAAAGCTGACCTGGTACTAGCACAGTTTTCGATGTCATAAAAATGTCAATGATGTGAGGTTTTTGAATAAAAACCCCATACATACTAAACCGTTTTATAGAGGGAGAATAAAAGGTCTATGAGCTGGATCATGCCTAATCGAAATCTTGCGTCACTGTTCTTTGGAGTAGACGGTAAAATATTATTTTCCCCCTATAGAAAATGTGATCAGACGTTCAAAAGTAAGTGCCTAGAGAGAGGGTTATTTACTATCTTAAATACAGCGCAACTTTGCCCAAGTCTCGCCATAATACTTATAGCCCTTAACCTGAATGCAACGCGACTATTGCAACCAGGTGATATCACTGCATTTCGGCCCACCAAAGATATTTGGCGTAAACCTGTCTTCGAATGACGGACAAACAATTTGACAAAAAGGTTACTAAAAGAGATGCGGGCCTATATTAGCAAGACTTTTACCGTATTGAAATAAATCTACATTATGAAATGGTTTTGAGACATGTGGGTTGTGCCCATTTAGTCAAGACAAAGTGGATTAAACAGTGTCCGGTGCCCTCTAAATCACAGTAAGCCATTTTAGATGATCACCATTCCTTGCCATTATGCCGAATTGACAAATATTTTAAGAATAACGACTTTATTAGTCGTTATTCTTCGACTGAATCAGAAATAACTGTATCAAATTTGCCTTGTATCCTTTCACTTAATAATGGTTTATCAGTACCAGAGCGTATACAACCTGCAGAGATTATTGTTGAGTATCAGAAAGAAAACTAACCCTTATGTTTTTCATCAACTAGGCAGCAAATTTAGAATTTGTTGGAGGTGAATGGGTGATTGTGGATTTAGAAATAAACTAAAATCTTTAAAAAAAAATATTTATAGAGTTTTTTCCATTGCCAAATACGTATCAAAAAGCAGGTAAACAACGCTGTTATTTTGTGCTAACAAGTGAAGATTCGGAAGCAGCGGAGCTAAAAAAATAATGGAAAAATGGGGCACAAATAGAAAATGCAGAATTGAATTAGTCAGCCAAATATCGAGAAACAATCTGACAAACGAAACAAGAAGAACGAAGCCAAAAACTCTGACATTATAATACTCTCTAAATTTTTAATCTAAAATACCGAAATAAAGTTCTATTTCTACAAAATATCGAGAAACTACGAAAGGTTTTACTAAAAAAGTCACATCAAAAATGTATACGAAGAAAGAAAAAAACATGGTAGACAAACGAAACCGCTTTCAGATGAAGATCTAAGGAAAATTTTTGAAGAATATTTGTTCAAAATAAGTGTTATAACAATAAGATGGAGCTTAGAAAGATCTAGGTATAATTTTTTAAGACTTCCAATGGTGCCAATGATTATACTTAACTTACAGTGCCATTCACTATGCTAAAGTGCCAATGATTGTAACATTCCCTAGAAAAAAGTTTAATTAGATTTTTAACTTAATTAAACATTTATTTTTAAACGTAATGCGTTATTTTATTTATGGCTATCTAAACTAAATACCAACAAAACAATAAAAAATATAACAAATTTGTTTATTTACGAGAATTAACCACTTACAAGTAGAAATCCGCTTAAAGTGCCAATCATTATACTGCTTACCCTATATACTACTAGTATTATTTTATATGTAGGATAGCCATATAATTAACAGTATTTGGCCGTACTTTTCGGAAATATATTATATTAAAGATGTTAAAAATTAAACAGATAAGATGAAAATTATTTGTCGCGCCTATTTTCAAAACATCTACCGCCCTCCCTTAATCGCATGCACTCAACGTCGGTGGTAGTAAGACCCAACATTTATATTTTAAGCATATCTCAGCGAATTAATTTTCTACATCTTTAATTTGATAGGCATTTAATTATGCAGAGTTTTTAAAGGGAAAACGTATATTATCCTCCTTGAATATGAAAAGCAATTTTCGTTATTCTTATTTGCAAATAATTAAAATGTATATGAATAAAGCTACCTTTTTGTACGCTTAGTTTACAATACAAAATAAGAAATGCAATTCACACGTTGTTTAATATAATGGTATTTATATGTTATAATTCTAAAGCAAATGCTATGTTCAACGTACTTGTAGCAAGCACTTAGATTTTCGCTTGAGTCCAGCATTGTTTAGAATGGTTGCTTGATTCTTGGGTAACTAAGCATGTATGTGCTTGCACAGTGCTTGAAGCGATTTTATGTTTTGCTTGAAGCGACGTTTTGTGAGAGTTTGCTACTCTACTCTAAGCATACTCTCTAGATTAAGCATTTTCCTCGTCGTACTTCCGAAAAAAATACTAACTTATGCTTACTCAAGCAGCTGGAGTAAAACTACGTGCTTGTCGTCAAGCTGCTTTATCATCTTGGAGCCCCCTATCCGTCGGCTAGAGGACGTTTGCCTTTAAAAAGACCTCTTTGACGTTTAAGCGTCAAAAAGAAAAAAAACATATTAATGCTTTTTGAGCGTGCTTTTTGTTTTATTTCAAAATTAAATATTAAATCTTTTGGGTAACTCTTCAATATTTTCTTCAATTTACATAAATAATATGTGCGTATCAATGTGGCATATTTATTCGTGGCAATTGTGAAAATATTGAAAAGTTTTATGTTCTGTAGCAATGGGGCATAGCGGCAGTATAGAGTAAATTATTCGTGGCGATTATTACGTGGCAGTGGGTAATAAGCTAATAAGACAAGCCTTAAAAAAATAAGATTTCAGTTATGACTAATTACATGCGACAGTTAATACAATGTTATCTATAATCTTATTCGTTTTATCACTTATGCCAAGACGCTTACAGCATTTCAACGTTTTTTTTTTATAGAAAAAAGGTGGCAAACGATCACACAGTCCATCTGATTCTGATGGTAAGTGGATGCTGTGTCTCATAGAAATCTACCCTCCAGTAAGGATCAAAATGCAGACCCCTGAGAACTAAGATGGAATGCCTCGTTTCCAGCAAAAAGGGTCTCCGGTTCTCTACACCCACCATACGAAGAACAGCAGCAATAAGCCGCTATTCTACGCGTGTATTCTGTGAGAGCGTGGTCCTTCCCCGGTCAAGCCGACACATTCAGGATTCAACAATAATATAGCTGCAGCGTAGCTCTACCACGTCAGAAAACGTTGTACTTTGGTATATTATTAATAGGCAAAGAGAAACTTTGTACCCAGTTTCTTAGTATACTACACACACGGAGTGTGAAATTTGGCATAGTTAAAGTTTGTATGGAAAAGGGTGCAGTATGCTAAAATTTATATATAATATGTGTTCGACCACTAGACGGCCACTAGTTATACTTATAATATGTTGGGGTTTTTTTTTAATTTCGAATATAATGTGACGAAAGTGTTGTGCGTGTTTATTTTTTCAAATAACATACAATTATATGTACCGTTTGGTTAATTTTATTTTTACTGTCTTGTATGTTTAGCTAGTCGTTTTATTATAATTTATAAAAGGGTCAAATGTTTTTTAATTGACTTTTAAAAGTAAGAAGTTTTCAATTACAGTGTGTTTTTTTTTTATGTATGTTAAGACGCGATATCTTCATGGATTGTGAACCGATTTTAATGATTCTTTTTCCCGCGACGGAACGGAGAAGGTGTATACGTTTAGGGTGAGAGGTTGTTTGTTTGCTTGTTTGTTTATTTATTATATAGGCCCTACCTTTTGAATACCAGCTTAAAATAGCAGCTTAGCAGCTTAACGCTGTTATCTGTAGAGAACCGGAGACCCCTTTTACTTGAAACGAGGAATTCCATTTTAGTCCTCACGGGGGACAACGCATCTGTGTTTTGTTTCATAGTCAAGGATAATAGTAGATGTCTATGTGCCACAGCAACTACTTACCATCAGCTGGACTGTGTGCTCGTTTGTTAACCTTATCCTATGAAAAAAGTGGACTCATTAAATTTTAAAGAAAAAATTCCGCCCCCAAAGGTGAAAAATAGGGTAAGAAGTTGCGTATTGGACTATTGTTTAAGGAATTTCATATGATATCTTCGCAGATTGAGAACATATTTTAATGATTCTTTTTTTATGAAATAGGTTATACTTCAAGGGTGGTCCCATATAAATGTGAAGAAAAAAATCCACCCCTAAGTGGAACAAACAAATAACTTCTTTCTAACCATTTGAAGTCGGTTTTTACTTTTTGTTAAAAGTTATAATTATGTAAA